TCCGGCATCGAGTTTGTCGTGTTAGAGGCAGCCTGGCACCAATAATCTTGCAACATGACAACGCTCGTCCACACACCTTGCGCGCAACTGAAGAGGCTCTGTGAAACCTGAAGTTTGAACCGATTCCACACCCTCCTTATTCCCCCGATCTTGCGCCTTGCAATTTTTATTTTTTTTCCTCTACTCAAGAGAGACCTCAAGGGTAATCATTACACCTCGGACGATGAGGTGAAGGCAGCTGTCAAGTCCTGGATTCGAGGAAAGTCGGAAGAATTTTTCAGTGACGGAATGAAAAAACTTGTTACACGTTGGGAGAAATGTGTTAGCCTTAACGGTGGCTATGTTGAAAAATAAATATATGCTTTTGAAACTTAAGAATTGTACTTTAATGTACTTTTCGCCTGATCTTGCTATTTGTTTTTGTTCGCGCTCTACAAGCATGTGTGCATTACTTTTCAGCCTACCCACATACATTGGTGGATAAAAGAAATGTGTTCACATATTACATGAGGGCCTTGAAGTGTTGAAGTGAAGTTAAGTTAGGTTAGACTGAGTTGTTATTTCAGTGCTGGATTAAATTAGGATAGGAAGGTCAGGTTTGCTATACATCAAATCTCTGGATTGGCAGTCCTTCAATAATGTAATTCCCTTCCAGTTTAAATAAAATACTAAAATGTTTGATTAATCATGGCGATGCTTTTAGCTATAATAAATTGTTGGTAGATGGGATATGTAGCAAAGCATCCAATATTCATGAACTTATTAAATCAGTGTGTATTAGTTCATTAGCTTTTTCTTTTCTTAGTTGCTTGGAAATTATTCCAGTTAGAACTTAAACCATTATTTTCCTACATTTTTAAATTTAATTCCATTTTGTTTTGAGTCATATTTTGATATATGAGGATAGTTCACAACAAATCCAGCCATCGGCCTGATTTTGCATCTGTTTTTTTATTTAAATAGATATGTATTCTGTTTGTTACAAGTAAATTGTATATTGCTCATTCTTCTAAATTTATTTTGGAAACACTGAATGTATTTCAGAGTTATAAATGTAACCAGTTTGATTAGATTTTCTCCATATTTGGAGCTGGGGTAGCTTTGTCTGTATAGTAACCAGACTACTGTCTGGATGACAGTGGTTAGATTTCTGGCAGAAGCAAGAACATTTGTCTTTACATCGTCATCCTCCTATCCTATATGTGGGAGATAAAGCAGTCAGAACGTGAAGTTAGTCACCTTCATCTGTGCCTAGAAAAAAAAATATAGCACTGTACTTACAAGTCCTCATGAGTCTTCCTCATTTGAAGCGTAATTAATCACAAGGGAAAATTTTCCTCTTTTGCTCCATCTCAGAAATATCTTTTGTTTCAAATTGGAAACTACTGGATCTTATAGTCATTGTGCTCTGAATATGTGTGTGTGAGATTGTAAGGCTAATGGATGCACAGCCAGGACTTTCTCCTGCTCTCATAAAATGTGTTAGTGTCACATATGGGGCAGTTTTCCTCAGATTATTCTTTTATTGCTTTTATGTACCATGATTGTTTGGAGAGATTCTAACTACCTGCAAAGAGCCTACAGATGTGTTATATGTAAATATCATGACAGAAGTTCTCATGTGTGGTGTACAGGACGTCTGGTTATAGCGGAACAAAAGTTTTATTTATCTTTTTGAAACATGAATTATCAATGAGAAAATCTGAAAAAAAAAGTGCAAATTCTAAAGGGTTTTGATGATGGTGTAACACATGATATTACTGAGTTTTTGGACTTTGTCAGTTTTCTGATATTTTAAAAAGAACACAGTGTTTCAGAAACTAGATCTCTTTCCTTCCTCAGGTAAAAGAATGGGAGGCAGCATTCTCTTGGGTCCTTTACAAAGTGCAAACCCCATTCATTGTGGCCCAGTGATTGAGGTTAGCTCTGTCTAATAGAGCCAACAGTAGGTGCCTTCCTTTCTTTCACCTGAGGATGGAAACAGATCAAGTTTTTGAAATTTTGTCTTCTTTAGAATACCAGGCAATGGATAATTCCAAAAATTCACAAATGCCATTCAAAAATAGTTAATGAGTTTACCAGCATTAACCTGTGAACTATAATTTTTACAGTACTAAAAATGTTGTATGTTACAAGAAATTAAATTGTCACAAACCTTTTTGTACTCATGTGCTGTAGCCAGTATTACAGTAAACAGATATTGGAACCAGAGCCATCCCTAGGCAGATGTGAGGCCCAAGGTAAATCACTGTATATGGGGCTCTTATTATATGTGTGAAAAACAAAGAACCTCAATGACAGCAACCAGTTAGTTTTATTTGTGTGGCACCTAGCTGAGTACTGAAAGAAGAGTTTATTTTTATATGCAATATCACAGTAAGAATCTAAATACTTCACCAATTTACATTACTATCTGGCATGAATCATCATTCAGAATCTGCATAACTACCATAAATCGTCATGCAATCAAATGTCTTGAGTGTTTTTTTATTGCTAGTGGGATGGGACCAAGTCTCTTGTACTGCGGCCACTTGCTGGCCTATTGTACCAGCCCCAGATGATAGTTGAGGGTGATCATGGAGCAATTGGTGGAATGAAGATTGGCAGGGGAAACTGAAGTACTCGGAGAAAAACTGCCCCAGCGCCACTTTGTCCACCGCAAATCTCACTTGACCAGACCCGGGATCGAACCCTGGCTGCTGTGGTGGGAAGCCAGCAACTAACCGTTTGAGCTATGGCGTGGCCAATGACTTGAGTTACTAACTTTGTTTAATTATTGAGCCTTTCAAAAATAACACTGGCATCGTATGTTTCCATGGCTACAGGTGCATATGTAACAACAGAATAATTGTTAGAAACAGTGTTTCCTATTGGGTTTAGTCAGTGCTTCTTTATGCCTGTTGTTTCAGTGTCTGTATTGATGTTAAGGCCTAACTGATGTGGAATCAATATGTTTTCCTTACAAGAAATACAGTCAGCAGTTTTCTTTTGCTGTTTTGAATAAGTGACTGCACCATTGATAAAGGTTCAGAAAAAAACAGTTAATATCCTTTAAATAAAACTTCCTCCTTTTCAGATATAAAACTTGCTCACTGCAATACACAACAGTATCTCAGTGTTTCTACAAAATTATGCAAGAAATAACATAACCCCTAATAATTCATATAAAATGAGGAAATGAAAATTGACACCCTTCTTTGAGAAACTGGGATCCACTGAATATCCATACATTTTTAAGAAACTGTTGTTATTGCCTTTTTGTAGTGTACATTTTGTATTTGAATTTTTAAGTGGGGTATATCTCAGTATATTAGTAACATAAATTGCCATGCCAGTTATTAAACTATGCAGGAAAAAAATGGCTACTGGATTAAAAAAGCAGGAAGAAAATATTTCAGGAAGTTACTGAGATTTGTATGGTGTTTCTTGTGAGTTCTGACACTGTGCACTACTGGAGGAGGTTTCTTACAATTCACAAGAACAGATGAGGTTGAGTTAATACAAGAAACAGTGGGCAGGAATTGTATTTTGGAGAAGAGGGCTGGAGAATGAAAGGGGCAGAGGCCCTGATCAGCACCAGAAGAGACCAAGACTAATGAGGAGAGCCATCTGAGGCTGCCTGCATTGAATCCTTAAATTGTACATGCTGGGCTACCAAAAGATGCTGTGGCAGAAGCCATCATCCCTGTTCATCTTGTTGGGGGTGATGTCCAGCCTCAGTTACTTTTGTGATGATTTGTTTCATGTGTCTTGGTCTTTTAGCCAAGACGTTTTTGCCTTGTGAAAGGATATAGTGACTGAATTTGATACTATATCCATCCATCACTTGTCTCTTGGAATTGTAGATGCAGATTAAAAAGGGCAGATGTGGCTTGAGGGTCTTTGACATGAATCTAGGTGGAGTGACCAATTTGTCCAATGTATGCTGCTCCACTCATACAAGAGAAGCTGCACTGATTTTAATACTGGGTTATCCTTAACAGACTGAATAATGTTGGAGATTTTTGTGGGGCAGATACTTACCGTCTTTACACTATACTTGGTTATGTATAGGAGGCCGTACACATGTAGGCAAATGGAAAGCATCTTGAATATGCTGAATACTTGTAAACATCAAATGGTTCTCCTGAGAAACATAATTTCTTGAGGGCATGAACACAGATGACTTTATTCCTGTATACAAGGGAGGAAAATACTGCTTCACTGTTTGATGGATGGTGATGCAAAGTGGCATTTGCATATTGACTGGTGTGTGTAACATACTGTCATGTATGAGGGGTTAACGTGACTGATAATAATGGGTTATAGATTTGATTATTGGGTTTCTTGAACCCTTCTTCACAGTTACAATTGTGTTACACTTATTTGCTATCCAGAAAGACTGCCAAAAGGAATGTACTGTTCCATCAGCATAAATTTTTTGTTAATGATCTCAGCCCTATGTTAATATTAATTTAATTTTTTATGAATGCATTCATAAGAAAGACACATAGCATAACACAACAGGCAGAACAACACATCACTTGGAATACACATGCACATAGAGGGAACCGTATATTAAAAAATTAATAACTGAAGGTACAATAACAGAAGCACAGCAGTTTCCTCAGCTATAACTGTGAATTTAAACACATTGTGAGGACCCTGTTGGTTGATTCACATAGTGAAAAACTTTAAAAAGTTAAAAATTGTGTGATATGCAAAATTTTTAAAGTGAATAACCTATAATAAGTTTTATAGAAAGGCATGTTGCACATGAGATGGTGGAACCAGCTTACTCCCTACAGTTTGCAGTGAAAGATGCCAGGTGGCTGTATATGTGTTTGTCTGTACTCCCAATATTTGTAACAATGTAGACACCACTAATTTTACATTGTGAGAAAACCCCCACACATTTGCCCTTGTAAAGTTAAAAGATAAGAGAGCAAATTGCCCCAGAATTATTTGAATAATTTCATAAACACATTTTTAAGTTATATTATGATGGTTCTGTGTGGCAGGTTTGTGATCTTTGCAAAACGAGTGGATGTTCTCGAGGCTCGACTCAGGGTGTTCTGTATGACAGATGACAAGGAAGATAAGACTCTGGAACATCAAGAGCACTTCACAGAAGTTGCAAAGAGTAGAGATGTAGAAGTAAGTCATTGTGCACTTTAATGCCAACTCTTTTATGATGAGGTCCCAATTCCAATATTCCCTGTAAACTGATTCTGTTTTTCTGAGTATACAGATAATGTAAGACATGAATATCTTGCACAGTGTTTAGAATTCCCAAACCAGTGAAAACTTTCTGTAACTGTCTTTAGTACTGGATTTAAGAGGTTAGACTTACTCTGCATTTTGTTCTTGTTCTTTCCACCTCTTACTGAGCATAATCATGTAGCATGAGCATTCAAGATTTGTATTAGGAAGGTATCCCTATTGAATCTAGGCTGGGTTTTCAGCTGTCCTGATGGAGGTTGTTCATAGTTTCCCTCAGTCTTTCCATTAATGACTACCTTGAAACAAGCCTCAACTACCTCAGTCCAAATCTGTAATGTCATCATTCTCCATCATCTCGTCTGACATTATAGAACCTTAGCAGCTGAAACACCATTATTTTAATAACCTAACAATCACACAGTCTTTTGAGCTTATGTCCTTTTGTGAGGTTCATGCTTGAAATACATAAATCTATTGTTAAAATATCCAACAATTACAAGATTCTTACTTCATTCCATATCTTATTATATTGTCTTTCCATTCTTGATGTTTAAACCAATCATATTTTTCTTACTCTAATTTCTTTGCTGTATGGGGCAGTATTTCTCAAACCAGGCCAAACCAGTTGTGTCTGTTTTTTAAACTCTCTTGTAATATATCGATGTGTTCCTTTGCACCTTCATTCTTCATTTGTGACCATGTCTCCTTGTTTTCCTGATGATGCTTCTCAGAAACATTCCTCGAATTCTCCTTTTGTTAGCTTCAAAGTATTTGATGAAGTTGATGCTTTAATTATCTAGGCTATAATCATATTTTTTTAGAGAAATTGATTGGAATGTTACAAATTGTCAGTTATGAGACAATATTGGTATCAGAGAACAGATTTTCACAACACTATTATGTTATTAGTCTCAAGATATGTATGAGTAAGCATTTATCATATGGAGGTGACTATTCAAGGTTCTATCGGAAATTTCCTGGATTGTTATTGTTTTAACTGCCTTGGTGAAAAGAAGATGAGAGGGGAGGCCAAGGTCACACTTCTGCAAGCCTGTTGCATCAGTCTGCCATGTGACACCTCGCTGTGAACACGCATTGTTTTTACATGAGTGCTTTTTCAATTTTGTGTTCTGTTTTGATTGCGATGGATGGCAAAATTGAGCAATGTGTCTGCATCAAGTTTTGTGTGAAGCTCAGTAAATCTGCTACCAAAACTCTTGCAATGCTTCATGAGGCTTTTGGAGAAAATTCTTCAAGCTGGACAGTGGTTTTTGAATGACATTCATGTTTCAAGGCTGGTCGAGTGTCAGTTGAAGATGACAAACGTTCAGGGTGATCAAGCACCAGCAGAGCAACAGAAAATGTTGAAAGAATTTGAGAACTCATCCATGAAGACTGTCGCCGAACAATCCATGAGCTCGCAGACACCACTGGGATCAGTTATGGAGTTTGCCACAAGATCTTAACAGGAAATTTGAACATGCTCGGCATTGCCGCGAAGTTTGTTCCCCAACTCTTGACAAGTGATCAAAAGCAGTGGCGCATACACGTAAATGTTGTCTTGAGCTACAAGAGAAGGCTAACATGGACCAAAATTTTATTAATATCTCTAGAATCATAACAGGTGACAGAAATTGAATTTACGGTTAAGATTCAGAAAAAAGCAACAGTCATAGCAGTGGAAGAGCCCACATTCACCAAGAGCAAAAAAGGCTCTGCAGGCTTGGAGTTCAACAATAAGCATGCTTATTGTTTTTTCAACGGGAAGGGGATTGTTCACTATGAATTTGTTCCTCCTAACACTACAGTCAACTCTGACTTACTTTTACATTTTGAGAAGTTTGAGAGAAAATATGCGATGAAAAGACCAGAATGTAAGTTTTGAGGTTTTCACGGTGATGACTATGAAGAAAGTCATCTTCTGGGTTTTGGCGCCGTGTATTCTTCGTTTTGGCTGACGTTTCGGAGGAACGTATTGCCTCCATCTTCAGAGCAGGTGAATGGCTTGTGAATGCAGAGAGCAGTAGCTGTAATGATTAGGAAGGACCTCTAGTTTCCTGGATCCACGGGCCGTTCCCCCCCCCCTAGCACCAACACCATATATGGTCTTAATCGCTCTCCACTGCTCCTATTGGTCCACTCTCCCTAACCACCCCCCCTGCCTACTTCCTATATAAAGCAGCGCCTTTCCTTCCTAATCATTACAGCTGCTGCTCTCTGCATTCACAAGCCATTCACCTGCTCTGAAGATTGAGGTGATATGTTCCTCCGAAACGTAAGCCAAAATGAAGAATACACGGCGCCAAAACCCAGAAGACAACTTTCTTCAAAAAGACCAGAACTTTGGCGCAACCACAACTGGCTCCTTCATCATGACAATGTGCCCACCCACATGCCCCTGAAATCCACAGAGTTTGTGATGAACATCAACATGGTTTTCATTCCCCATCCTACTTACTCACCAGACTTAGCCCCTGTGATTTTGCTTTATTTCTCAAATTGAAGATGAAGCTGAAGGGATGATGTTTTGAAACAGTGTCTGACATCCAAAGGGAATCGAAAGTGGTACTCGCCAACATTAAGGAAAATGACTTCCATGGTTCTTCTGAAGCATGGAAAAAACGATGGGATCGCTGTGTACGTCCCAAAGGAAACTATTTTGAAGGCGATGGTAGCCTAAATTGGATAAATTAAGCCAGAATTTCTTCTTTAACCTAGCCTGGGAACTTTCCAATACACCTAAAGAGAGATGTCTGTAATCAGTGGGACAGAAAACAAGTTAAACCCACTTTCATAATAGAAGAAATAAAAAAGTATGAAAGAATTACGTGTTTATGAATAAAAAATATTGTTATATATAAGGGTTGTGTGACAGTTAATGGGTTCTGGATTAGATGAATCGATTTATTAGGTCTTCAGCAATCATAACTACGGTTAGTTATCACACTTTCAGGATTGCTGTATCTGTGACACACCAATAATTAGAACACTCTCAAGGTTACTGCATAAAGTAAAGTCTTCAACACTTCAACTATTGAACTGCCTTGAATGCCGTCTTCCTTATGAATCCTCTGTTATAAACCTTCAGCTTCTTATATAGGATCAGCATGGACCTACAGACAGAAAACACATCAGTATCTCAGCAATGGATATCCTGTATTGTTGTTAGGAAGGAAATTGCACCTACTTGTTTCCTTTTTAATAACCATGCATATTTCTGTGCTTTTTAGTATTATTTGAAGTAGTTCTTGACATTGTGCATCTGATTTTTATGTATGATGTATATATTGTGTTACAGGTTCTAGAAGGAAAACCCCAGTATATAGAATTTGCTGGAAATTTGGTACCTGTAACAAAGTCTGGTGATCAACTTCAGCTGGGTTTTCGAGCATTCAAGGAAAACCGTCTGCCTTTCACAGTACGTGTAAAAGATCCACATGCCGATACAGTGGGTAGAATTCTTTTCATGAGAGAACCCAAGGTGAGCTTACTCTTGAAGATATATAGACATTACAAAAAATTTGGTACTTTGTGTAATGGTGTTAATGCATTGAATATATATGAATGTCTTATAAACAGGTAGCGAAAGGAGAACCTCCTCAACAGCCCGTCTGTATACTTAACATTGTCCTACCAGAAACAATTCTGCCAGAATCAACGCTCTCAGAGCCTGACTTGCTGGTTTTGCACAAGAAGTACAGTTTCTTAAGGGATGGTGGCCTAGGTGAGTTAGCATTTCCTTAACCCTTTCACAGTTAATTTAATTCTCTCCCATACCAGACTCTCTGAAATTCAGATTTGTTGAAGAAAAGAGAAGCAATATAGACACATCTGATATGGTTACTGCAGAAAAACGAATGTGATGATTCGTTAGAATTCTTTATACCAGTTTTTTTTTTTAATGATCTTGATGTGTTCATGGCTCTACACTTCACTGCAACTGCTGTACCACCGCCACGAAGCAATTTTCCTGACGGCTCAGCATGCCAATAACATTTGGAATGAAAGGAAGTTCTTACCTTTGTACCCAGATTACAAGAGGTGTTGAAAATGCTGTCTGTCTATGCATAGACATTCCTCACACCGGCAGAAGAGGTTTTGATTTACCTTCTGAAGATGCTCTGCAGGAATATTTAAAATTTCCCTACAGATGTTTTCTTTCAGTTCTTCCATTTGAGGGTTACTGCTGTAAACTTTGTCCTTCAAATAACCCCAGAAGAAACAGTCACAAGGATTAAGATTAGGTGAACGTGTTGGCGAAATATCACTGCTGATAATTCTGTCCCCGAAGACATTAGACAAATCCTGCATAGGTAAACATGCAGTATGGGCAGTAGCTGAGTCTTGCTGAAACCAGCCATAGATTCTTTCTTCTCCTGTTAACTCTGAAAAGAACTGCCTGAGAATGACCTGTACATATCTTTCACAATTAATTTTTCCGTTAAAAAACACAGCTCTAACAGCCTTTCTTGCACTTAAAGCACACCAGACACCAACTTTCACTGAATGGAGCAGGGCTTTGTGAGGTAGATGTGGCTTCTGTGAACTCCAGTACCAATTTTTTTTTGCATATTTATGTATCCCTGCAAGTGAAACCATTCTTCATCAGAAAAGAATGTGAATTACAGATTGATCTCACCATCAATGATAGACTCTAGAAACCAACTGCAAAAACGAACCCTGCTGGCTGAATTATATGGCTGCAAAACTTGGATTGCTGTTGTTTTGTATGGTCTAAGCTTCAGCAATTGTGTTGCTGTTCTTGCACTAGATGTTAACACTCCAGTCTCTTAAGCTAGATGTTTCATTAGTTTTCTAGGTGTATGTTCAAGTCTGACCCCTGTCATCTAACTTCTCCTCAGTAAGCAGTAGACACTTGAGTTTTGTTTTATTGTCCATTAACCCTTTCGCGCGGTCATTTAAATTCCGCTGCCGTGTCTCTCCGGTGGTAATATATTCAGCCGGCCATTTAAATTTTGCTCGAAAATGATTTATTCATCATTGTTCTTAAATTATATGAGATAGGAACATGAAACTTTCACTAAAATGATCTTAAAAGGTGGTTTTATAACCTTACCTTATAATATGAGCGCCCTGTATCTCGGCAATGGAAGCAG